ATCAGCAAATTGCGAAAGATTTTGTGCGATCAGATCGCAGAGGTCGATCATCCACTCCATTGCTTTACAATGCTGAATCTTTTCGGAGAGAGTATGGAGAAATCAAACAAACGGAGGTGAAGAATTCATCTGGTGGTGGAATTTAGGGTTTACAGAGAGACGATCGTAGGCGGGAGATTTGTACTTTATGTACATGTCGTTGGTTGTGTCTCTCTGGTGAGATCTTTGGTTCTAACGTCTCTCTGGTGAGATCTTTGGTTTTGATTTTGTTTTCTTTTTGGTTAGTGTTTTAATTATCCGCCTTTATGAGATTTAGAAACCAATTTGATACTTTACCTTCAAGTTTTCCCAGTTAACCGTTTGATTCAATTTTCAGAGAATTACATCTGAACTTTTTGAAGTTTGTTATACTTAATCACTTATCTTTGGAGGTTTGTACGCCTCGAATTGGTATTATATCCGTTAGCAAAGTATACTCGGACCTTTAAAGTTTATACCAAAAATATTTCAATCAAAGATAGAATATAAAATATTTTAAATTTTATAACAAAAATTTTATGTTTTATTGTATTATTTATTGAAATAAAAATCAAAAATAAAAAATTATTTTTTCTTAAAAATTATAATTAGTATACAATTATACTATCTATTGGAATAAAATTAAAAAATCAAACAAGGGTGAAATTGAGAGCTCTTAAAGTTTTATGATAAATCATGCTAACAGTTCCTAAGATTTATCATTAATTGTACTTTAATACTCAAAATTCTAATTTTGTTAGTTAAGAAGGTATAATAAACCATGGGAATGTGTTTGTACAACCAAAAAATGATAAACAAACACAAATAACTATTTTCATAAAAATCAAGAGTACCTGAAAAAAAAACAGTCTGTCAAATCGTAAATGGTAGCAAGAGAGATACAGAGTCTGAAGCTTGTATTGAAGGTGAGTTGTCCATTGGGTTGTCTTACACTGTACATAGAAAATCGGAAATTTTTAGAGCCTCTAAAAGAGCATTAAAGAGAGTATGGGAGTGGAGAAGGTGAAAAAAGGGGAGTTTCTAATTGTTTTTTACCTAGTAATGAATCATTGGGTAATGAAAATGGGAGGAGGAGAGAGAGAGAGAGACTGTTGCAACGGCAATAAGATTGCGAACCAGCTGGTTTGGCATAAAGGTGATAATTTGAGTTTAATATGTAATTGATTTTGAAGATAAGAATGTCATAGCTACGTTTACTTTTTCGCTCAAATTAGGTTTTGTAATTTACTCATTTGGTCCATGAATTTTGATGATTTCCTTAATATCTATAGGTTTTATAATATATTGACTAGGTACATGAGTATTCACATTTTTTCTCTCTCAGTTCTCTTCACCTCCCTACAGTCGCCCTTCGACAATATTTTCCCTCCCTCATCCGCCCCCTACTAACCATCACCGCCCCTATTATCGAGCACACCATCCAAACAACAAACTTAAATAGCAACCCCAACCCACATCACAAAAAAATGAAAAAAATTGCATGGTCCACAAAAATTGTGGTCTCATGCCACCTCGACTCTGATAATTCAAAATAGTAATGTGTAGGGAGAGTTGGTAGTTTTCATCTGACATGGATTTGAATGCATGGAAAGGGTCAGAATCCCATTGGCTTCAGAGGGTACGAGTGTGTGCAACCCTAGTGTGCATACGCATTACAATGGGCGAAGGTATAAATAACTGCACAATATTTTCTAAACCCCAATAAAAAAAAAAGTTCACAAACTTGTGTTTGGTTTAAGATATCATCATCCACAACCATTAAACACATTCACAGTAGTTACGAAAGCTGGAAGAACTAGTTGTGTTCAGTTGTAGGCAATTATCCTTGCCAATGTAAGGACTATTGATAATATATAACGTCTACATCTTCTTGCCTCTCATTCTTTCAGCATCTACATTAACAATGCCCTGCTTCTTAGCATACCAAGCCCTGAAAGTTTTAAAACCCACAAGAGTATTTGTAAGAAAAAAATGAGGAAAAAGAATATACCAGAAGAATTCCAAGTGGAAAATTCCTTGATTTTTACAAATAATTTCAAAACCACATACAACCACTTAAAGTTCTAAACTAGACCCAATCTAAACGTACAAGAAGTGATGAAATGTCTAGAAATGCATGGTAGAAACATATCCGGCCACAATACAAAAAATCTCCAATCTAAAAGCACCACAAGCCTGATGCAGTGACTAGAGTAAATTGCATCAGAGTAGTCGGTTAAAAGACCAAGAATACGACATAACATAAACATATTTTCTATCTCATCCTACGGTGTCCAATAAATATTGACAAACCGGATCCAATTTCCTAAACTGTTTATGTACTACCTACCCAAAAAAATTAAGATCCAGGTATTATCAACATGAGAACTCCACTCAGACAGGTGGTCCGACAATTAATAACGAATCAAAGTACCTCCAACGAGGAGCATGACTATTACCAAATTGTGTAAGTCAATTTAAACGTAAGTCAGGATTGTAGCAAGTTGTGTGCACTGAAGTGAATTGGCATATGTAAAACATGTACGGTGGGTTCTTTTTTTTTTTTTGGAGGGGGAGTGGGGTTATGCTTTTGATTAATTACAGCATTATTTTCTGATTTATCCCTCTTGAACTTCTCGTTACATTGACAGTGTTAGAGAATGGCTAGAGACAAACAGATGTCTCACTCCGATGTCGCTATGTCGAAGTGGTTTTGTTTGTCACCTGACTCGCCTCTACAGTAGGATTGTAATAAATAATGTAGTTCTTTTATAGAAACACAGTTACCAAGATCAAAGTTGTCCTATGCATTCCACGATCCTATCTCTTACAACCCCAAATTGGGCGTATTCACAACAAATCATCCAAAAATGTCACCCCAAATTATAATGGTATGTACCCGATATTCATGAATACACAGAATTTAGCAAAAAAAAAGGGGGGGGGGGAGGAGAGAGAATTACATAAGTAGTCATAAGTCTGTACATATATCGAAAGGAGCGAATTTTCCTATGCAGTCAAAAGTAGGTACATACAAATCAAAGGGAGAGAATTTTTCTAAGCAGTCATAAGTAGGTACATATTAAAAAGAGAGAATTTCCAAAGCAGTCAAATTAAGTAAGAGTAAATATCAAAAGGAGAGAATTTTCCTAAGCATGTTTGCATTATACTGAAATTATAGTAGTTCAAAAAGAAAACTACAAAGATATTTTCAGCTTTTATCCTTCTCAGCTTCCATATCCAGAATTTGCTTCCTAACTTTCGTCATCCCTTCGTACACATCTAACAGATCTGTTGACTTGTCCATCAGCACACTTCTCAGTGTGTTTATCTCAGTTTTGAGATTCACTAAAGCTGTTAATGTGCAAGCATCGACTTGCTTTTCAGCTTCATTACGTAACACAAGCTCCACAGAATCCTTGTTCCACGTTTCGAGCCAGTCGAGTCCCTTCAAAATTCTCTCCTTAGAAGTGCGAGGGTGACAACAATTGCTCGCACAGAAAATTTTCTCCTCACTGGGATTTCCACTATGCTCTTCACCACCAAACATCAGTCCTTGGTTTGGCTTGGAGAAAGAGCAGCCATTTTACCAACTATATTTTGCCACATACCCAGCATGCTTCTGCAAAAGAAAACAATACATTTAACTTCAAAACATAGCAAGTAAACTTTTGGCAAGTAAAAATGATATGCAGTATTTTTTTTCTGGTAATTAACATGATTTCTATTAATGAATCTCCATATTCTATTTAAATGTAGTAGTGTTGACAAGTCTCCAATCTTACTTCATTTAATCTTTTTTCTCAAGATAAGGACAAGTCTATATTTAAACTAACTGATAACTCCCACTTCTCATGTAACCTCCAGGTTTTTGACTGTTCAACTTTCCACTCATTCACGCCTCTCTCCCCATATTCGCATATCTCCAACCTTTCTGACTATTCATGCTTAGGGAAGAGAGACAAACCAGAATGGAACCCAATTGTGTGTGACGTGTGTTGCTACAACATTATAGCAATGTTGCTCCCAACTGTTCGTTGAGGGTAAGGTCCGATACATTTATGCACATGATGAATTTAAGGGTAATGGTTGCATGGGGTAGGCTATGTTTGATATGTTGCCCACCCCCCGAGAAAGGGGGAGGCAGTAGGCTGGCGTAGTTTGGCTGAGGGGGTGGACTGTTGTGTTTGCAACTAGAGTTGGTGGGGGCTTAGAGCAATATTGATTGTGTTATGGAAAATCTTGAGAAGTTTTGTTATAGCATCAGAAAAGCAAAAAAGCAAAATCCCCTCCTTTTTATTTTTATAGAAAACACCATCTTATTAAAAGTAAAAAAATGAAGAGCAAAGATGTGTAAGTAGTCCATCCCAAATACAAACCATTGAAAGCAGTACATAAAAAGGGAAAAAAACCAAACCAACAAAACAAGCTAATCAATCACAAGCTGCCTTCCAGTTTGCCAAGATTTCAAAAAATGAAATATTAGCAAATTTTTCAAAGCACAAAAACAGTTGCTAAAAAGTGAATTCGGTTCCAAAGCCCATCAAACTCTTCATACTTATCTTCAAAGATTCTTGAAATTTTCTCCAACCAAATCCCCAAAATATTGCAAAGAAAGAACATCCCCAAAAAGTACTTCCTTTACTTCCCTTTCGAAAACCTTTATAATCCACAGCCAACATTGTTGAAATTGTGAGAATCAAGAAAGAAAGATGATGGAGATTACGATTGATCATAAGCATTTTAAAGTCAGATCTGAAGGTTTGCATGGTGAACTGGTTCGCATAACGGAATGGAATCGGTTTGGATATTTCTCATGCTTAGTGAATAGAAGTTGTGTGAGATGGTTGAAGGAGATATTTTCTGAAGCTTTATCCTGGAATTGACGAGATATTTTCTTTAGAAAGTTTAGGAGGGATGGATATTGTATGTGGATGCAACTGGAAAATAACAGGTTTGGGGAGTTTGCCAGTATTACACAGATGATGAATAATGGTAGAAGAAAGGGTTTGATTATTCCCCAAGGCTCCCAAGGCATTGGATGGAAAGGGTTTAGAGGATTGATGAAGGATATTCTTTCGGGTGGAAATAATACAAGGATACAGGAAAAAGAAAATCAAAGTCTGATGGTAGTATCACAATTTAGAGTCAGGGAGCAAGGAAATGGGGGATGGGCTGAGATGCATAAGGAAAATACTCCTGCAAATAATAAGGGAGATGAAAATATGCTTAAAGAAGAGGTTAAACTAAGGTGTGTTGTGGTATGTGTCCAAGCAAATTCGATTGTCTCTTGGGATGGACTTCAGGCATGCTTGGTACAGGCTTTAAAAATGAAGATTGATCTACAGCCTTTCCAAGTAGACAAAGTCATTTTTTTTTCTACGAAGACAGATTACAAGCTGTGAGAATTTATGTAGAGTGGAAAATTTCGCATTGAAGTGTGGGGTGACATACAGTTTCAACATTAGTGTCATGAATCCAATACAGTTAGAAGTCGTGTACCCTTTTGGGTGGATGGATAGCAGTTGAAGGTCTACCATTTCATCTATGGCAGCTTGAAGTCTTAAGAAGATCAGAGATTGTTGTGGGGCTTTCATTGAAGTTGATTGGCAAACAAAAAATCTCAAAAATTTGTTTGAAGCTCTAATTAGAGTTCATAAAACCAGTAATGGTCTTCTCAAAACATTCTTCAGTGTGGATATTAATGGAAAATCTTTTCTAAGGTTAAGGTGTTGAAGAACACAAGATTGTTCAATCAAAACGAAAAAGGAATACTACAAGGTCAAGGTAGTAAGGAGATTTTGTGTATTGGGCAAAAGGTTGAAGACAAGAGTTGTAGCATATTGGAAAATCAATCGGCCAAAAAAGAGTTGCAAACAAAAGGGGGATTACGTGTCAAGAAGAGAAAGGAGGAGGAGGAGGAGGGAGTCTGTGCACCACAAGGCCAGAATAAATGCAAAGATTTGGTTTGATTGAAAAAAATTCTAATGACTTGATTAGTTTCATTAATCTTGCTGATTTCCAACAGAAAATATTTGATAAGGATAATTCAAATAAGGAATGTAATTTGAATTCAAAATTTGAGTTAATTAAGGATAAGGTAGAGGAGATGGATCACGAAAGGTGGGTTTTGTTAAGAAAGGAAGGTGTGGGCTGAGATAAAAGAAACAAATGGGCTGGAAACAAATGTTTTTACCAATGGGCTTGGTAAGGTGGGCCGTTTAAATTTAAGAGGGTTTTACAGAATTGTGGAGGCCTGGTCCACAAACCTTTGTTTGTTGGGCAAAGCTCGAATGATAGGGCTCTCTCACACGGGCAAAGGGCTATCTCCATAGATGAAACAAAGGCTCTCCTCAAAGTTGAAAACTAATGGTTAAGGTTGCTGAAGCTGATCGTCGAGCATGCTTAGATGTGGTAACTCTGGTGCTGGTCTGTCCTTTAATGTATTGAGACCTTGGTTCAAATTCACAACACAGAATTCCTTGAAAATTGTTGGAAATGGTCAAGAAACTGATTTTTGGTGTGATCCATGGATGGAAACTGGCCCCTTGATTCTTAGAGTGGAGAACCCTCCATTGATCTTTCCTAAAATCAATGACTTATGGAATGGTGTGGAGTGGCAGCTCAATGAGGTAGCTGAATGGCTTAATCCTCAGTTATGTACTGAGATTGAAAGTGTGACTTTTGTGAGGTCTGAAAAATCTGATAAACTTATTTGGAGACATACAAATTTAGGTGAGTTTACTATTAAATCTGCTTGGAATCAAAGTAGGAAAGAAGGAATCTAGAATGATATTGCTAAAGGCATTTGGAAACAGAAAATTTTTCCTAGTGCTCAACTATGCACTTGGAAAATCTTCAGAAATGCTTTGACCTCTGATGATAGAATACAAAAAGTGGGTGTAGCTATGGTTAGCAAATGCTTAATGTGTGGTGTAGCAGAGGAAAATGTTGCTCATGTATTTGTTGATTGTTCTTTAGCTCAAGCAGTTTGGAGGAAAGTTGCTGCAGTTATGGGGTTTGAAGTTTTATCAGGAGATTCTCCTTTATGCAGATTTCTAAGATTGATAAGAAGGTTTAAAGCTTCTTCTCTCAGTCATAATCTAATAAGGGGTGTATCTATGTTAATCTTTTGGGCTCTGTGGAAGGAAAGGTGTAGGAGGAAGTATGAGGGAGTGTTTTTAAATGCACATGCAATTTTCCATCAAGTAGTGAGTTCTTTGAGATGGCAGGCTATTCTTATCAGGCCTGCATCTAATGATGACTGTAAGGGAAATGAGTTGTTAAGAGATTTGAATATTAAAAATCCTTTTTCCTTAATCACAAAGGTCAAATGGATTAAATGGGAATTTCCTCCTGCAAATGTGTTAAAGCTTAATGTTGATGGTGCTTATAAAAGTAAGACTGGCTTGTCAGGTGGTGGGGTGGTGTTGAGGGATCATGAAGGCAGAGTAATTGTTGCAGCTTCTTGCTTTTATGGTATTGGTTCAAATATGTTAGCTGAATGCAAGGCATTGCTTGATGGATTAATATTGATTATGCATCATGACTTATCAGAATCCCAGATTATGGTAGAATCTGATTCTCAAATATTAGTTCAAATGTTGAGTGGATTAGTTGCTATTCCATGGAAGTTGCAAGATTTGGTGGAAAGGAGTAAATTGTGTTTTAGCTTGTGGAATTTGCAAATCAAGCACATCTATAGGGAAACTAATGGCCTGGCTGACTTCTTAGCTTCCTTTGCTGTTAAAACAGAGAAGTACACTGAATTTTCTAGAAATAATGCTCTGCCAATTACTGGGAAAGTTATACTGCAGCAAGATCAAAATGGTTTACCTTTTGCCAGATTGAAGAAATTAATTTGTGATCATAGAAAGGGGATTGGTTGATTGGTTATCTGTTGAAAATAAGGACTGCTTAAAACAGTTGACAGGGGTAGAAGGTACAATAATTTTGGAATTCAGATTTGATTTATGATAAAGGAGCAAATTGCATATATTTGGAATCATGGAACACACACAGACAAATGGCTATTACTTTGATTCTTCTGTTGAATGGCACTGATCAGCTGAGTCAAGTAGTCCTCTGAGATGTTGTATTAGAAGTAGGACCAATTCTTCAACAGTCTCAGATGATAGCTCTATATTCTCATTTCTCAGGATTTCTAATCTTCCTGGGCTGTCTTCTGGATTTCTTTTGTGGACTTTTGAGTGTTGAGGATCAGGTTTCCTTATTTCTTCTAGCTCCTTTTTGCGAGGTTTAGGGTTTAGGGTTTAGGGTTTTAGGGTTTAGGGTTTAGGATTTTAGGGTTTAGGGTTTAGGGTTTAGGGTCTAGGGTCTAGGGTTTAGGGTTTAGGGTTTAGGGTTTAGGGTTTAGGGTTTAGAGGGGGCAGTCATTTGTTTTGTAGTGAGAGATGCTCTTCCTTCTCTCTTGATTATTCCTTGATTCTTTGTTTTTTCTGGCCTAACTATCCACCATTAATGGATCTTGATCAAGTTCCCAACCACATTCCACCGAAACCACCTGACAGTTCTCAGATTTTCACTTCAACCCCCCCCCCAATTTTGGTTTTTCCTTCTAACCTAGCAACATCGGTCCCCACTAAAGAACCCGATGAAAAAGGGGCAAAAACCCCTGCTGCTCCTCACAATATCGTCCATTCTCCTGGTATGCCCTCTGAGACTTCTGGTCTCCCTCTCAACCCAAATATTTCAAAAATCTTTGCTTCGCTGTTTAAGAAACTCCCGATTTCCTCGATTCCATCGGCCTCGTCTCTGCCCACGACCTCTTCACCTCCTTCGACTGTTCTTGTTTCCTCCATCCCTTCGGACCCAGTCATATCGCTCGAGAACTTAACCCCACCACTTCCTTCAGTTACTCATATCAGGCCGGCAAAACGCGTAGTGTTCAACAATGGAGAACCAGGAATCTATTGGTCCTCCGAAGAAACTCATGACCTCTCAAAGAGGTTCCACCAGACTCTTATAGGTAAATGTGCATATGGAAAACCATTTATCGGCGTTATTAGGGAATTCATTACAACGAGATGGCTCCCAAAAGGAAACTTCACAGTCGGCATTTTGGACCCGAGACACATTCTGATCAGGTTTGAGCTTTATGACGACTATGTTAAAACATGGCTCAAGGATGCTACATATATTGAGGGTTATTTATTCAGATTTTTCAAGTGGTTCCCGGAGTTCTTATCGGGTATTGAACCTCTGATTGTCCCAATTTGGATCTCTCTTCCAGGATTGCCAATTCATCTTTTTGACTGCAATAGTCTGAGAGATATCCTTAGCCCAATTGGTCGAATTCTTGTGATTGACAACCCAACCTTACAATTGTCGAGGCCCGGGGTGGCTAGAGTCTGTGTTGAAGTAAACTTATTGGCTGATAATCCACATAGATTCTGGTTAGATTTTGGAGGCTCTAGTGGACGGTGACAGATGATAGTCTATGAAAAAAGGGTAAAATATTGTAGTATTTGTTTAAAGCAAGGTCATGGTGATAATGAATGTAGGAAATCTAAATCTGAGAAGGAAGCTAATGAGGTAGTTAATGTAGCTGGAGGTGCTAAAGAAAGCAAACAGTCTACTGTTCCAGAATTAAAAGAATGGGGGGGTAACAGAAAAGGAAAAGAGTGGCAGACTGTGAAAGGCAAAGGGAAGGCGAAGAATAAAGAGAAGCAAAATATGGAGGGGCATAAAACCAACAAAGGTGATGGCAACCTATTTAACACGCTTCGTGGGGAACATTCTGGTAAAGGTGTTTTGGGTGTGAAAGAGAATTGTAATATGCACCAACAAGAAGAGGTTATTGTTATAGAGGAGACTTTGAACGTACAAAAGGAAGGAGGTGAGACGACCATGGGGGAAGTTGAACAAGGGGTGACCAATGAGGAATCACCAAATGTCTTAAGAAAAGGAGAGGCAGCCAATGAAGTTAGGGATTCTACTTTCCCAGACAATTTTGTGAACCAGGAACTGAACCAGGGGGAAAATCTTGAAGGGACAGCCTTGAGCTTGGAGGAGGAGGTCAATATTAACACTCAGGAACCTGATGGCAGGGACCAGGATAGCTCAGAAAACAAAGAATTGTTCTGTGCTTTAAATAAAAAATGTTCCTCCATGGGGGACTCCTTTTTAGTGGACCATAACTACTCACCCGTATGGGGGGTAATGACTGTTGTTGATGAGGGTAGGGGATTAATTCAAAGAACTGAACCCCCTGACAAAGGTTACTGGTTGGATAAGGGAAGCTCTTTGAGTGTAAACAATGCACAACATACTTTGGGGGAGGATGATGATGATTCTGTTGAGCCAGATGTGAACTCCCTTGAAGTTTACTCTCAGGAGGTGGAAAATGAAAACAACATGGGGGCGATGAATCTTTCTTCTTATCAATGATCAATTGCCTAAATTGGAATATGAGGGGTGCTGGTAAGGCAGCTCAAAGGAGGAGGATCAAAAAACTTATCAGAATTCATGATGTTTGTATGGTGTCAATCCAAGAACCTAAAATAGAGGCAAATAAATTACAGAATTTTGCCCACTTCCTGGGTTTCTCCCATTACTTTTTCAACCCATTAGCTGAAAGGAAAATGTGGCTGTTATGGGATGATAGAGTAACGGTGCAAATTATGGCTCAACATGAGCAAGCTCTAACAGTTAGTGTGTCCTATTTGGGTTCTGATGCGGTTTTGCTTACGGTTATTTATGCTTGCTGTGACTATGTTTTGAGAAGACCACTGTGGCAACATTTACTCTCTTTGTCATGTATTGGAAACTCTGCGTGGATGGTGGGAGGAGATTTTAATGCTATAACTACTTCCTCAGAAAGACTAGGTGGTGCATTTCCATCTATTGTTTCTATGGAGGAATTTGGGGACTTTATCCATGCTGCGGGTCTGCAGGATGTAGGTTTCTCTGGCAGCCAGTTTACATGGTATAATAATCGTCATGGTCGGGCAAGAATGTGGCAGAGAATTGATAGGCTTCTCTTTAATCCTTCTTGGAGTCTGAGATTTGGCCACACTGAAGTGCTGCATCTGGGGAGGGGGGGCTTTGACCATTGTCCTATCCTTCTCAAAATCCAAGACCCTGTGAAACCAAAAATTTCTTACTTTAAATTCCAAGATATGTGGGTCGAAGACCAAAGTTTCCTGCCTTTGATAGCAGCTAACTGGGGAGGATATTACACTGACAATCCGATTGAAAACTTGTTCTTAAAGCTGAAATATTTGAAATTCCACATAAAAAAGTGGAATAAAGACGTTTTTGGAAATATCTTTGAAAGAATCAAACGAAAGGAAGAGGTTCTAAGGCAGGCTGAGGTTCTTTTGGAACAGGAAAATTCTGATGATAATGTTCATGCCTGCGACTGTGCTCACAAAGATCTGGACGAAGAGTTGAGATTAGAAGAAATTTACTGGAAGCAAAAAGCAAATGCCAAATGGGCATTAGAAGGAGAAAAAAACACTCGTTTTTACCACATACTGGCAAAAGGCAAAGCAGCAAGGAACAGGATTACCAAAATTCAGAATGAAGCAGGAGTATGGGTTAAGTCTGATGAGGAGATTGGCGGGATTGCTATTGATTTTTATGCCAACCTGTATAAATCAGAGCAATATGAGCTACATGACAATTTTTTTTCTGTTATTCCTCCTTTGGTAACCAATGAGATGAATGGCCAGCTGGTAAGGGAGGCCACTATAGAGGAGCTCAAATCTGTTATTTTCTCAATGTCTGCTCAAAGTGCTCCTGGGGTGGCTGGTCTTTCAGGTAAATTTTTCCATGTGACCTGGGACATTATTAAGGATGACTTGATGAAAGCAGTGAATTTTTTCTTAAAAGGAGGTAAAATGCCTAGGTCTGTGAACTCCTTTCTCTTGATTCTTATTCCAAAGAAGGTAAATCCTGCCTCTTTCTTTGACTTTAGACCAATAAGTTTGTGCACCTTTCTCTATAAAATCTTTACAAAGCTCCTAACTGGTAGGCTGGCTCCTCTGTTGCTGACTATTATATCCAGTGAACAACATGGTTTTGTGGAAGGAAGATCTATTGGGGACTGTGTTTCTTTAGCTCAATTACTTGTCGCTGATCTTGATAGAAAGGTTGAGGCTGGGAACATGATCCTCAAACTTGATATGATGAAAGCTTACGACAGATTGGAGTGGAATTTCTTATTTAAAGTCCTGTCTTCTTTTGGCTTCTCTGAGTTGTTTGTGAACATTATCTCCAATTGTCTGGAATCTCAGTTTGCATCTGTTTGTGTGAATGGGTAGAGAGTGGGATACTTTCCTACTTCAAGAGGCCTAAGGCAGGGAGACCCAATTTCACCTTGCCTTTTTATTTTGGCAGAAGAGGTCCTTAGTAGAGGACTAAAAAAGTTGTATTTAAATGGATCAGTATGCAGTTATCACTTGGGAATGGGATCTATTCTGGTCAGCCACCTACTTTTTGCTGATGATACATTGGTTTTCCTAAGAGGTTTCAAAAACTCTTTACGTAATTTACAAAGTTTTTTGAAGTCTTATGAATTATACTCTGGGCAAAGAGTGAACACCCAAAAGAGCTCTATGTTTTGCTCAAAGCAAATTTCGGAAGGTAGAAAACTGGCTTTATCCTCTTTGGTTGGGATTCCAATTAAAGCCTGCCCTTTTAATTATCTTGGATGCCCCATAATAAAGGGGAGATCCAGGATTAGGTACTTCGAGGAGATCATTGTGAAATTTAGAAGCAGACTGGATGGTTGGTACTCCAGAGTACTGTCTAATATAGGTAGGGTCTTAATGGTCCAATACATTCTGAGCTCCTTGCCTACTCATATCCTTGCTTGCTAGAACCTTCCAAAAGCTGTCCTCCACAAGTTGAATACTATTATGGCTAGTTTCATATGGTCAAATAAGAAAGATGTTAAAAAGCGGCATTGGGTCTCATGGGACACTATTACCCTGCCAAAAATGGAAGGGGGCTTGGGCTGAGGAAGTTTGAGGATTTGTAGAGAGTGTTTAGAATGAAACAAGTATGGAACCTGTTGCAGGGATCCTCTTTATGGGCTGAAGTCTTCTCCAAAAAATTCTTGAAAGGTAAGCATGTGCTTCGATGTATAGGGAAAAGTCATTTTAAATGTCTTGAGGTTTTACGACCTTTTTTTGACAAAGTGGTGATGCAATCTAGAGCTATGGTTAGCAATGGTGACCAGACTGATTTCTGGTGCGACGTCTGGTTGGGTGATAGACCTTTGCTAAAAAGAGTGGATTCCCTCCCCCAGGTTTTCCCAAAAATTGGGGACCTTGTTGTAAATTCCAATTGGCATCTGGAACAAGTCAAACATTTGCTAAGTGATGAGTTGAAAGTGGAAATCTTAAATTTCGGCACTGTCTTCTCTGATAATGCTGATAAATTGGTTTGGCAAAGCTCTATGTCTGGGAAATTCACGGTTAAATCTGCTTGGCAGACGATTAGAAGGCGAGGGGAAATTAACAATGTGGCAATGTCCATTTGGAAGCTGAATACTGCTCCCAGTGCACAATTGGTGGGCTGGAAATTGTTGAAACATGCCCTTCCGTTAGACTCTAGAATCAAGCTATGCGGGGTAACTTTGGTCAGTCAGTATTCCTTGTGTGGTATGAATGAGGAGTTTGCTGAACATATTTTTGTGAGCTGCCCCTATGTGAAATCCATTTGGGAAAGGTTTGCTGCTATAGCTGGTTTCAAGCTTCTTGTGAATGAACTGCCTTTAATGAGATTTATGAGACTTTGTAATATCTTCAAAAAGAACTCCCTTGGGTGTGGTTTGATGAGAAGCTTAGCACTTCTAATCTACTGGCAAATTTGGAAAGAGAGATGCAACATAAGGGTAGGTGAAGAAGGGATGGTGAATTCTTACTCAATTTTTCTAAAAATTTGTAGCCTCTTGAGGTCGTATGCTAGGAGCATTAAGCCCAAGGTGGGAGATGGAATGAACGAAAGAGACTTTATCCAGTCATTGGGTGTTGTGAGATATTATACTGTGAAACTTAAAACTTCTTGGGTGAGCTGGCAATGCCCAGTTAATGGGACTCTGAAATTAAATGTTGACGGTGCTGCAAAAGGAAACCCAGGGATGACCGGTGGAGGTATGGTTCTTAGAAATGACAGGGGTGATGTGGTTCTTGCTGCTACCTTCTTCTATGGAGTCTACTCTAATACAACAGCTGAGTTTCGTGCGATGTTAGATGGGCTGTCTATGATATTGAGATACGACTTGTCTTCGAACATGATCTGGATTGAATCCGACTCATTGGTGGTAATCAATACCATCAAAGGAGATACGAAATGCAGTTGGCACTACTGGGGCACTTTGGAGCATATAAAGAAAATTCTTAATGGGCTACAATTCCACTTGACACATGTTTTTAGAGAAGCGAACTCTGTGGCTGACTCACTGGCCAACAAGGCTGTCCAAGATGGCTTTTCCTCTGATTTTTCTGATTCCCTGCTACCTGCTGCTATAAGGATGAATGTTGGGCAAGACCAGCGAGGCTTACCTTTTCTTTGAACCAAATCAGTGCTGATTTTTGATGATTGTGGTTAACTTGGGGGTACCTTTACCTCTTAGCATGAGGTGCCTTTTTGTGTCCAGCCTCCGGTTATAGGTTATTGGTCTTAACAGTTTGTTTACTGTGTTGGTTTTTGACTGCTGTCCAGTTTGGATTCCAGCTGGGGCTTCCTTTTTTCCTGCTTTGTCCAGCTGGTGGGCTGCCTTTTCTTGGTTTTCATCGGGAGTGGCTGTCTTTATTCAGCTGGGCGTTTCCCTGTCGGTTCCCCCCCTCTGCTGGTTTGTTGCTGGGTGTCTGCTTGCTCATAGGTTCTGCTCTACTGGTTTTCAGCTGGATTTCCCGCTGGTGGTAACTTCCCCAGCTAGACCTTCAGCTAGTCTTCCAGCAGTCTTATTCCTTTGTATTTTCTTTACCTTCTCTTGAAGGATTAAAGCCATCTTAGGCCTTTCCCCTCTTTTCCTTTTAGGCTTTGCTGCTTTGCTTCTTGTAATCAGTTTTTGTTTCAATGTTATTGGCTTTCTACAAAAAAAAAAAAAAAAGGGTTTAGGGTTTAGGGTTTAGGGTTTAGGGTTTTAGGGTTTAGGGTTTAGGGTTTAGGGTTTTAGGGTTTAGGGTTTAGGGCTTAGGGTTTAGGGTTTAGGGTTTAGGAGAGAGGCAGTAATTTCATTCTTAAGAGAGAAGGTCTGACTTCTCTCAAGAAAATTTTTCATATTTTTCTCAGATCTTCTTTGTTCCTCATGAATTCTTCATTATTTCATTGGATTTCTTTTTAAATCTTAGTGGTTTTGATTGATCTAGCATGAATCTGGCCCAAGAACAGCATCAAATTCCCCCAAAACCTCCAGACATCACCAAAAACTTTGC